GATACATGTGATTCATGCTTGGTTCCACACCATCAGTCTGAAAGTGTATGAACAGATCATTCTGAATCTGGGCAGAGTGCCAGGGATACACTATGCTAATATATATATATATACCTTTTATTAAGAGCCTTTCCTGGGTTTTAGATAGGCTGTGTAATTGCATGCTATCCAAGGAAGAGTGACTAAAGAAGACTGATGGGAGAAAAGGCAAGCAAGAAAAAAAGCCAATCTGAAAAAGGCAGAAACAAATGGCTGTGTGTGGGAGAAGAGCCTGCCAGGTGGAAGTGTGACGTGCTGGTTCACAATAGACATAAGAAACTCAATCCTGCCTCTGTTCAGGCTCCTCAGAGAGGAAAGAGCCAGAGATCAAATGGATCTCATAGCAGGGAACTCCTGCAGCATTGAAGGGCTTCTCTAGCACAGGGATAGGAGCGTTTCCAGAATTTAGAATTGGGACCTTTGTATTTTTCTGTCCAAATTTCAGAATTCCCAAATTCACCCTAGTGTGCAGGGAAGCACAGGTCTCTCATTTCTTAACTTATGAAAAATCACAAAAGAGCTTATAGCTGAAGCATAAAATTCTTGTGACTACTCCTGGCACAAGAAGCAGTGGAAAGTGTGACACCATAACTTGGAAAGTGACCAAAACCCTGAGATCTCCTCTCAAAATTCCTTTGGCTGCATTAACACAAATGACACCCTGGAGAACATTGTCTTTCCAAAGTACTTGCAAGAAAGTTGCTGCAAGCCTCACTATCCCTTGGAGGCACTTGGTACTGAAAACTTCACCTTTGCATTCACATCTCTGGCAGGTGTGACTGAGAAGTGAAAGTGAGGAGATGCCTCCAGCCTGCTTTCTGCCTCCCTAGAAGCTATTCTCTTAAGGTTTAAATAAGAGAGCTAGTGTTTCTGCAGATCAGCATAACTGGGAGATGGTTTCATAAGCCTCAGCTTCATCCCACCCCATGCTTGATGAGAGGTGTTGTACAACTGTCTATTTGCAACCACAAAGACACAGATATCTCTCCTTGCCTGGCCAAGGTGCAAGATGAGAGTACAGTGAGCAGCTTAGTCTCTGGACCCTGGGAAGTGTGGACAGCTTGGCAGATTCTTCAGCAGGGCCTCAGTGCTCCCATCACTCCACACTCTGGAGATGCATGCTGGCAGCTGCAGGGGTCACAAGCCTGGAAGGTGAGGATAAATGGATGAAGCATGGTGAAAGCACACACAGATGAAGAATGAAACTGCATCCAGGACCACATTAGCATTTACACTGCCTAGCTTACCCCTGGAGCCACTGGCCATTCAGTCATATTCAGACGCTTCTGCTCTAACATAGCCATGGTGCCAATAGTTGATTTTATTTTGCTTCAAGTTACTGGGAAGTAAAATGATTACAGACACTTTAGGGACCAAATCCTAATCCTGGTGGCTAAATCTAGCCTAGTGTATGATTTCTGAATATAATGCATATTATGTGGGTTATTGGTAAGGTCCTGTGTTGTCTTAATGTACCTCTTTTCCCAAGAGTTTTTTATTTATACTGGCTTACTTATGAAAGATAAGGAAAAAGATAAAAACAAGAAGTACCCACTTTCACTGTCTGCTCTCCCTTTGGTGAGGCCATGTTCTAATTTTCTCTCCAGTGACATATCAGAATTGGGACTTTGGGAGAGGAAGAACCGACTCCAGAATTGCATCCTGAGGCACCAGGAGGTGCACGCCTACACGGGGTGAAGCTGGTGCCGCTGGTCCAGCATGCAGGAGGCAGGCATGGGCACGATGAGGTGCTGGAGGCACAGGATGCCGAGGAGCCTGAAGAACCTGAAGATGCTGAACTCAGAGAGATAGAAGCTGCAGGACAGAGGGGTGTCACTCTCTGCTGTTAATCACACCTTTCTGGACTCTGCCCCTTGCAGGTGACTTTGCAGCCTCATGCCTTGGCTTCTGACTGAGAAACCACGTTCTCAAAGTCTCTCTCTGGGGTTCCACAACCCCAGTGTTTGCAGAGATTATTTTGGATTTTTGTTCCTTTTCTCAGGCAATGCAGGAAAATAAGATGGCTGCTGACTAAAGGGGACCTGGACTGCAGAGTTACAAGGGGAAGAGTTGGGGCAAGTCAAGAGATAATGCTGATGTTAAAAGATAAAACAGATTTAACATCTTTCTGCACACAGAAAGCTGTATGGGTGAAGCAAGAGTTTGCAATAGCTGTTTAAAAGCGGATGAGCCAGCTAGGCATCCACATATTTAATAAAAAGAAAAGAAAAAAAAAAAGAAGAAAAGAAAAAAAAAAAAGAAAAAAAAAAAGGAGAGAAATTTATCCCAAAAGCTGAGCTTAGCTGATGCTATCCTCCAAAGTCCATGTCAGCCAGCCAGCCTGGCTGTCAGCAGCTGGGAGGTGTTGGGACAGCCTGACTACAAGACCCTGTTGGCAGACCTGCACAGGGCTAACAACTGATTTCTACCTGCAGACTCCAACAGGAGGCTGCAAAAATGACTCACAAAGTCCAGTGACAAGTCTTGAGATAAGACCATGCACTGCTTTCCCAAGGCAACAATTCCATCATGTCTGTGGAGTGACACAACCCATGGTGGAGGGCCTGTTGAGGATGTGATTAAAGAGATAATTCTCCCTTCCTGTGCAGATGAGATCTAAGCATGGCTTAAGTAAATTACTGAATGGCTTGTTGTAGTCCTGGCTAAATTCCCTTCTGCAACAGGGCCTGTTTCCTACATCCAATTTGCTTTGAAGCCCAGAGCATCACAACAGCAACCCAACGCCTACTTCTCTGTGCTTGTCTGACACCCCTTGTCTGTAAGACAGAACCCCTGGGTCTGGATGTGGATGGCTCTGAGGCACAAGCTAAGCCCTGTCAGTTTTCCTGATAAGTTTCTGATGGTTCATTCCCTGAAAGCTCCCCACTCCTGACTCTGCTGGTCCATAGTTTGATCTTCAAGGAGCAGCTGATTGAAAGCCAGAAGCACTTTGCTCTCAGCTAAAAGCATTTTTAGCAGAAGCACACTTTATTCACAGCATGGCAGAGATGTGTGTGCAGGCCTCGAGGAGGGCAGCAACCCCAAAAGCCTTCTGGTTTCCACCCGTGCTGTTCTACCCCACTGAGTATCTTTTGTCTCCTGATCTCTGCTCTGGAGAGGATCTCAACCCCTCCAGCTCCATCCCTGCATCTCCCTAACACAGACTGAGCTCTGCCCTTTGGCTTGGCATTTGTATGGGCCATTTTCCGATGGAGTTTAAAATCATTTCTGGCACCTTGTGATCTTTTACCCCATCTCTTGGTATTTTTTCCATTCACACCCCAGGAAGGCTGGCCCAAGCAGCTTCCATCGTCCTGCCCTGCACAACCGTTCAGTCCAACAACAGCTTCAGCCTCTCGGGCATTGCCCAGTTCTTGCCATGAAGAGGAAGATTTAATCCTCTCTTGAAAGCTGTTCGTACTCAAGGTCTCAGAAGAGGAATGGGACCTGTAGATGTGAAAGAGACCCGCGCTGCCAAGCTGCCAGAACAAAGAACATGCTATAGTGTGGACGTAACAGTGGTGGTCCTTCACACAGGTTATTTCGAGGTTCAAAAGCCCCGCGATGCTGCCACAGCACCTCAAGTCCCCAAAAGAGAGGCAGAAACTTCGCTTCCTTGTCGTGAAACGGCTGCTGGGGACTCGGTGGAGCCGGCGTTGGCTGGGGAGGCGGCGGCACTCCTGTCCCCCCCTCCCACACCGCCGTCCCCGGCTTCGGGGTCCCGCCGCCCTCACCAGTGGTTGCGGGACCCGGGGCCGGGCCGGGCTGCGCCGATGGGGTCTCGGAGGCGTCCCGAGGCCGGAACGTTCCTCGCGCGGCCCAGCGTTCCGGGGGAAGAAGCGGCGCACGGGACACCGGCGCCGCCATCATGGCGGCCTGAGGCGCGGCGGGCACGGCGGTGGGAGTCGCAGGGCGGGAGGCCGTGAGCGGAGAGGTAACGCTGGGTGAGGGAGGAGCTTCCCGCTCGCCCGTCGGCGCACCGACCCCTTCTCTTCCCAGCTCCGCAGCCGCGTCTCGGCATTGCCGGGCGAGCGGCGCCCCGAACCCTGAGAAACGAGCAGGCACCGGGGTGGCGGTGAGGGGCGAGGGGGCCCCGCGGCGGGATCCCGGGTAAATCACCCTCTCCGCTCGGTGGGGCACGACTCCTGGCCCCGTGGTGGGTGGGTCTGGGGAGCGGCCTCCGTGCCCTGCTGCCTGCCGCGGGGTCTGCGTTCCGCCTCATAACGGGGAAACCCCTTGGAAAGGCTGCAGCAAGGCGTGGCTAGAGGGAGAAGTCCGGCTGGTCACCGTGCATGGGTTATTGTAGCCCTTGGGCAAGCTCCGTTGAAGTACGTTCCATTGGTATTTCAGTCACTTCGCAGGGTAGGTCGGCTGTGGAAAGAGCAGAGAGATGCTCCCGGCGTCACGCTGGTGCAGACAGGTTGCAATAGCAACGTGGGTGTCTGAACGTTAATTTGGAAAGGGGCAAAGAATTGGTATGCCTTTTCTAGCAGGGCATGGATAAAGCTAGTCAGGCTTTTTGTAACCTCATACATCAGCATGTGCTTCGATTACTTGGAGGGAGGACAATAGCTTAGGAACTGTGAAATCTGGATCTCATTCCCAGCTCAGTCAGTTCATCCACTCTCCTGAGAAAATTGTCCACTGTGTCTGTTCCTTCTCTGTGAGCAGGGAGAATAGTACTGGTGTACCCTCAGATGCATTAGGAAGCCACATTGGGTGTTACTGTATTGCAGGGATTTCTCAGTCAAAACTGATGTGCTCTTCCGTCAGGCTGCACGTATGCCTCTGATGAAAAGAATCCTAAAGAGACTTTACACTGAGCGCTGAGAAATCTTTGTGTGGAGAGTACAGAAGATTGCCTGCCTAGGTTGAGACTGTTTGTACCTGCAGGTGTAATGGAATGGAGCAAAGGATATTTTTAGAAGTTGACTGATAAAGGAAGCTGGCTGTGTTGTCTTAATTTGTTAGGCATGGTGAAATGGTGCAAACAGCTGTGTGACTGTACAACCCCCACAAGGGCAGATGTGGTCCCAGTGGCCACACAGAACAAGATGGGTTCTCTGGTGCTTCTTTTATTTCCACAGAGTAAAGGTTACATGCTATACTGGATAATTATCTGAAGCACACATAACACAAAAAAGCCCTTATCTGTTCTTTGGTGCCTGAATAACATGCCTGGGAAGTTTTTTCTTAGTTGTTTGTAAGCAAACAACTTATTTTGTTGAACTTGTTAATAAAGAGTGTTTCATGTTTCAAAAGCAACATGTTGGTGCTGGGAAGCAACGGTGCACAGCAGAAAAGTCGGGCAGTGGCTGAAGACAAAGACCTCTCTTTATGGGGACTTTAAATAGAGCCTTTGTAGAAAGCGTATTTTTATCACTTAAGCTTTCCTGGTAACACAAAACACTTCAGCTGTACAGTGTAGACTGGTAAGCTACTTACAGGCCACAGATCTTTTTGCCTTTTAGACTTAGAAAGCCATAGGAATTGTGTGTGTACTCATATTTTATTCATAGCCAGTTTCAAAGGAAAAGGTGTATGGTTGTACAAGGTGGATTCATTCTGCACAGAGAATTAAATTAGTTGCTGTTTTGAAGCTGTGAATTAAGAAGGAGGATGTCGTATCTGGCCTCTAATGGACGTGATAGTAAACATCTTTGCAGCTGGCATTATTTGGCAGCATCAGTAGAAGCAAAAGACTGAAAACAGCATGGAATTTAAATTCCTTTCCCACTAGCAGGAGTAAATCCTTTTAGGGAACTGACCAGACAGTCTGCAGAAATTTTGCTCAGATATTGTATGAATCATTTTTGCTCCCCAGATAAATCATCAGTTGAACCTGATAGGTTCCTGACCTGGCCTCTGAATGCTGAAGAAAAACTTGGCTATGCTGACACGAAAACGTTACACATCTTCTGATCCATGATCAGACAGAATTCAGCAGAGAAGTGAGGATGTGTTAATGCTGTGTTCCTTTATTGGCAGATTGAAAACCTAGAATGGCAGGAGAACAGAAGCCGTCCTGCAATCTTCTAGAGCAGTTTATTTTACTAGCGAAAGGTACAAGTGGCTCAGCTCTGACTGCTCTTATAAATCAAGTGCTGGAAGCTCCTGGGGTTTATGTCTTCGGAGAACTATTGGAGTTAACGAATGTGCAAGAGGTAAGAGATAAACATCTATCCTAATGCCCCTTCTGCACTCCTAGTGCAGATCCCCAGAAGTTTGCACAGACAGCCTTTGCATGAAATTTCTGTGCCAGTAAGGCCCTGGTATGACTTACCTTGGTTCTGCGATGTTTGCATCTGAGAGATAGTGATTTTTTTTCCTGGATATATTAGATCTTAAAAAAATAACTATATAAAGCTTTGCTACTTTAATGCCATTGCTAATACAGCAAACACCAGGTAGTAGCACAGTAACAATTTTAAGGCACCTACCCAGCCAAAACAAAAATCCCCTTTCTACTCCTTCATTGTCCTGGAAATGACTTCAGTGCTCTCCAGAAGTCCTTGTGAACAGATGTTTAGTGTATCAGGCCTGGGTGGTAACCAAATCCAAGCCATTTCAAACCAAGGTGGAAAGAAAGCTACAGAGTTTTTACTGGGAATTCCTTGCCAGCACCCTCCTCTACTATAATGAGGGAATCTAGGTTGAGTATCTCTGCAGCTGGGGTAATGTGGTGTACAGCAAGTTTGGCTTTCCAAACAGGCTCTTGGATATGCTGAAAAATGCTTCTATGGTTATTCAGCATCAAATCGCAAGTACGTTTTTTTTTTTCCTGGATCCATTTGCAGCAAATGGATCTCAATAGCAGTCACTGCTTGGTGCTGCAGTTATTCCAGTGATATGTTTGCATGCGAGAGGAGTGCTATTACTTTCAAATGCACTCAAAATGCTTAAGCTTGCTTTGCTTTGAAGTTTTTGTGGCTCTGCAGGCAAGCTGTCTTAGCTTTCCCAGTAATAAATGCTTAACCAACTGACACCATTGCTTGCTTGCTTGTTACATGATGAGAAGACCTGGCCCTGTAGGTTGTCAGCTGAAATTAAGAGTCACCTTTTTCATTTTACCTCCTAAGGTGCTGTCCTGGGTTGAGGACAGGTGCTACACAAAGCAGTTGGCAGTCCAAACTGTAGTTAAGTTCTGGTGCATAGAAATGACTCGATCATCTTGACTCTAAAACTGCTGAACTTTGCTGCTGCTCATGAGGCCTTAGAAAAGGCCAGCTGTTTAAGCTCATGACATAATTGCTTTTCTGTTTACTGATTGTTCTTTGTAGACTTAAAACATTCCCTGGTGAAAATACCTGTGAAAGGTTGTGTTGGCTGTTAACACGTTACATGGAATTTATTTTGTTTTCTTACCATCCAGCTTGCTGAAGGGTCTAATGCTGCTTATTTCCAGTTGCTGAACCTGTTCGCGTACGGAACATACCCAGACTATGTAGGTAAGAAACTGCTGCCTGTTTGCAGAGTGTGAGACTAGGTTGTCCTTTGCTTTCTGTGGTACGTGGCGTAGTGTGGCTGGGTGAAAGTGTCTAAGAACAGAATTTGCTTGCAAGGAGAATTGTTCATAGAGGGTCTTTGGATCATGTGTGCTTTTCAGTTGCTAAAATGTGAAGGAAAGGCTAGAGACTACGGCGTTTTACTGGCTTGGATGGGACTGCAGCACTAGATTGAATTGGCCTGTAGCAGTATTCATTGTTCACAGGCCACTTACCTCTGTGGAGTGCAATTTTAGACATCTGTTTTGAAATTTAGATGACACCAGTTACAGAAGCTGCAGAAAACTTAAGCAAAATTGTTCTGCATTATTCATAAAAACCTATATGGCTTGTGGGATAACCTTTTATTTTGTGACAGCATTGCTAAACAAATGAAGAATTTCTTAGCTAGACTACAAATAGAAATAATGACTTTTATATGGCTTCAGAAGGACTATGTGTGAATCATCTTAGTATTTGTTGAGATGTGCTTTTATCTCTGGTGTTTATGCTTCTGTTCTGCTGCAATTTAATACTTCATTTGTGGGTAGCAGCCTTATCCAGACCATTACAGATTGTGACAAATAATTCTGTCATGGTGCTGCTTGTCACTGTGGTAGATGAGATCCCTAGTTCCAGGAAGGAGAAGTGGCATCTGTAAGTACAAGGACTGGAAATTCCAGTGGCTGTGGAGCAACACGAGCCTTATGAGTTCTGTGACTGATTAGAGGATTGTTTGCTGTGTGTGGACCTTGTGTCCCAGCATGGGACAGCACAGTTTGTTCCTTTTCTAATGAAGAAAGAGAAAGGGGGAAAAGTGGTCAAAATGAAGAGCATTGAATGAGGTGGGATGGGAGGGAGAAATTGAGTAGTCCTGAAACACTAATTTCCATTAAAGTGGATATTTTAAAGAGTTTCTTTGCTTTGGAAAGCTGCCAGTTTCCCTTCTGTTTTTAAATATTCATGAAGCATATGGCTATAATACAATGACAGTAAGGCCATCTAGATTAACAATTTCTCCTCTCTTCCTCAGCCTGGTACTTTACACTTTCAACCCTAAATTCTTCAGTTTTTCAGAGAAATAAAACCAGCTGTATTTACAACCAGATCAGCAAAGGGGGAAGATTTTATTCTGTCAGCTTATTTATGAAACAAAAATTACTTGGTGGTAGAAACAGAGCATTGACCAACTGTTTTGACAGAACAGTGCTTGTGTAGATGTGAATTACACTCTGATTCCAAAACCAGAATTACTAAAGAAGCAGAGAAGAATGGAATTGCAAAATTGTTTTTTTAACTTTTCCTTCTCCTTGAGTGTGCTAATCTGTCAGCATCAGCTCTCTCTGCTCATCAGCACCCACAGTAGCTGGAAGAGTTTAGCTTTTCAGGGTTTAGTGTAACCATCCTGAAGTTCTGCAGCCTTGACTATATAATCCTTGAAGCCAGGTCCTGAATCTCATCTTTTTAACATTAACAGCAAACAAAGATAACCTACCTGAATTAACAGTGACTCAGAAAAACAAGCTGAAACACTTGACGATTGTAAGCCTGGCATCCAGAATGAAGGTAAAGTACACTGTTTATGATAAAGAGGTGGTTTTGGTTTTGAAAATTACATTGATTCTTTAATATTGAAGTTGTATTGGACTTCATGAGTACACACAAAAAAATCCTGCAACTAGGAAAGTATCTGTAATGTGTAGTATTCTCTTGTGGTGCCTTTGGGACATGGATTTAGTGGATTTCCATGGATGAGATGTGGGGGTATCAGAACTTCCACACAAACTGGTCAGGTAGGGCTGGGAAACTTTGTATGGCTTCTTTAACAGCTGCAGTTGAAGAAACAGCAAACAGTGTTGCAAGGAATACTAAGTCTTGAGATTCTTAAAAACACTGACTTTTACTCTAGAGAAAACAAAGCAGCACTCTTAAAATCATCTACTTCTCATTTTTTCCTCCAGAATGTGTTATGCCAGAGCTTCAGAAATTACCAAAGTTGAGTCAGAATATCGTGTAGCAGGTATTTGCTCTGCCCCAATCAGTCAATGATGTACTTGCAGGTTAAAGTGTAGGATACAATAAACATTTGGGTCTTGACCTGACACTTAACTGTTCATTATGGCTCTAGGGCTGTTAACTTATTCTTGGACTTGCTGTTTTTAGTGCATTCCCTATTCTGTATTGCTGAAGGATCTGGATATGAAAAATCTGAGGGAGTTGGAAGATCTGATTATTGAAGCGGTTTATACAGATATTATCCAGGGGAAGCTGGATCAGCGAAACCAGGTGCTAGAGGTGGACTTTTGTATCGGCAGAGACATTCAGAAGAAGGACATCAGTAACATTGTCAAAACACTCCAGGAATGGTGAGGCAGCCTCTCCACCTTCCTTGTTCTTGTACATAGCTTGTCTTGTTTTTTAATTGCCTCAAAGTTTCAAGTGCTGGCTCAATTTCACCATGTTCCATTAATCAGGACTTTTATGCTGTAAATAGGCAACATTGGAGGAGGAGTCTATAGGGCAAGTTTTCCAGGATCCCATCTAGGATTCAATTTGTCTTATGTATCAAGCCAGAGTATACTAGGTCTTCAGATTCTGCTCTTAGCAGAGCTTTTACATGGCAGAACCCTAGCTAGGAGTCAGGCCTTTTCAAACAGACATGCCAAACTGGACTCATGGTCTTGTAAGTGGGAGCTACTCCCCTTTCTGCTGTTATACTCGGTAACAAAAACAGAACAGTCCATTACTTTTCAGCATTTTCACTGTGATGAGAACTGTGTGGGCAAGTTGTAGAGAATCACAGCTCTTTCGAGGGGATGCCTCTTCAAGTTTGAAGTTTCACATGCTTTTGTTTGCCTTCTTTTTGTTTCTGCAAATGCAGGCTACATGCAACCATACTGAGACTGTGGTACTATCTTTTTGTACCTTTGCCAGGAAGCTGCTTCTCTTCTTTTTGTAGGATTCCCTTCCCACCCAGAAAAATTCCCCCGTAGACTGTGGAGCCTGTGGCAGGTTCTGAGCTGGCTGGGAATTCCTTCCTAGTTGCTATGGTAATGAGTGCATGAAAAGTAATTAAACTTCTGGGCAAATATGTTGTCCTGAGGTTGGGGCAGGTTTTTTGCTTTTCTACTTCAACTCCCTCAATCCCTACATGGCAGGAGGGCTCTGGCAGCTTCCAGGCCCTTGCAGCATTGTTTGGAAGGTAACAGTGAACCCACTGCCAATTTGCTTTCTGTCCTCTCCAGTTACAAGTTGTGTTGAATGCTTGCCTTTTGAACACTTAATAGGCAAGGGGGTTATCTTAATATGACTTTTTTCTTTAATTTAAAAATTTTACTTCTGAAAAATGTTTTGCATCCCCATTTAAGCCATAATTCTGACTGAAAAGGAAGTTGAAAGTGCATTGAACCTGCACTTTTTGATGGTAAGAGTAACATGGACTCTGAAGAATACTGTGAAATACATTGAATAAGCAGTAAAGCTTTCTCTTGCCAGCTTTTATACCCCCTCTTTAAGCAGGGGTATCAATTCAATAATCTCCTAAACTTCTAGGCAAGCATGATTTTTCAGATTGCCCAATTGAGCTGCTCCAAAGAGAACTCATAAACACTGATATTGTTTGTATCTTGCAGGTGTGATGGTTGTGAAGCGGTTCTTTTAGGAATTGAGCAGCAAGTACTTAGAGCCAACCAATACAAAGAGAACCATCACCGAACTCAACAGCAGGTAGAGATCGAGGTGGGTATAGAGTCACTTCAGACTGCTCTATGCTTTTGATGAATGTTTGTTTACTGAAGACAATAATCTGATAACACCTGGTTAATGTTCATGGCATCTCTGAAATAGGCTAGCAATCATGCAAATCAGATATGCTGGTTTGGGGTAGAGAGAAAACACGTCTGCTTCCATGTCCTGGTAACAACACAAATACCAAATTTGCCCACTTTTAGCAGGTTGGAACTTTTCTTTTAAAATTATTATAAGTTTAGGCTAGGTGACTGCACTAGCTATGGTTTCCTGAATTGCTTTATTAGGAAAAGTGTGCTTTTAACAGAGCTTTGATGCAATTCTGTTCCTTTTGTACAAGGCAGGAAGGAAGGAAGGAAAAACAGTTGTTTTAAACCTGAAAGTGTAATAAAAATCTCTCGAGTCTCACTGCTTTTGCAAAAATGTCCTCAGCACCTTGCTTTGGGGGATCAGGTTGAGCCCTCAGACAGGGCTCTTTGGCACACTCTTCAGCAATGTGACCCAGGAGCTCTTTGCCTCTGTTCCATGCGCAACTAGGCGGTAGATGGCAGCACGGGCACGCGATTTTAGTCACTGCTGATGTGTATTTACTTGTGAGAACAAATCTTGGCTAATACAGCTGTAAAGGTGAAAATGGTCCTCCCGAGACACTTTCTCAGGCTTTATTTCTTGGAGAGTTGTATCCCTGCGGGTTTACATTTGCCTTCTGAAGCAGTGTGTTTGGCGGCTTGATTGGCATCCATAGTGCATTTGGGTTGGCAGATGCCTTTGACCTGGAGCTGGCCAGCTGACTCCCAACTTGTTTTGGCCCATGGTTTTTTTTTAAGCATTGCTCGTTGTACTTCTGGTGAGCCCTACAGGGCTCCAGGGGACAGAATGTGGGGCCTGGTCCTGGATCTCTTCTTTTCAGCCAGAGTAACAGAAGCACTACTGCTGCTTCCCACTAGACCATTTCCTGTTCCTGCTTCTAGCAAATATCTGTAGCTCACACAACCAGCTGGGCCAGATGGCATTTTCCCTTTTCAAGTGCTGTTCTATGTGTAAGTTTGGTTTTTTTTTTCACAGTTTCCTTTGTCCTTCCTGTTTCTGGTGTGGTGAATGGCAGCCTTCTACACCAAGGCAGTAGCAGGTTGCTCTGCCAGCCAGAAAGCTGGTACAATATTGTGCTGTTGTCTCTTAGGAAAAAAAAAAAAAAAGTAACCTCTAGTTATTCTGTATTGGACCCAGACTGGAAATATTAACAGCTCTGGCTGTGAGGATGAAACATTACCTTTAATAAACTCAAGTGCAGAGCGTATTTCTGGTGGGAGAGTTTATTTTATAAACTTCAGTCTGTACTCCAAGGATTTTTCAGTATGCTTATGAACAGAGTTTCTGCTGCCAGGGGAGGAAGAAGCAGGTGCTGATTCATTGTCTCTTCTTGGCCAGGTCACAAACATAAAGAAAACATTAAAAGCTACAGCCTCGTCGTCGGCACAGGAGATGGAACAGCAGCTGGTAGAGCGAGAGTGCCCTCCACACACAGAACAAAGGCAGCCCACAAAGAAGATATCCAAAGTCAAAGGGCTGGTTTCCAGCCGTCACTAGAACATACCATCTAAGTGTCATTCAGCTAGGAATGACAACAGGAGGAGCAAACAAGGGCCTGCGTCTCCTTTTTCAGTGGGTTCTGGGCCAGTCCTTTCCAGGCTGGCAAATAAAAGCTCTGCTTGAAACAGCTTCTAGTTAGCAGCACCTGGCTAAGTTACCCTGTACAGCCCCTATTAATTTTCAGGGTGTCCCTCTTCTGGTCCTGTAAAGAGGGACTTCTAAAGAAAGGGACTAACCAAAGGGGGGCAGGACAGAAGAAAAAAAAAGTCTGTGGACAGTTTTGCTCCCTCCCAGCCAGTTTCATTGCTGCTTAACCTTGAGGAAGCTGCTGTACTAAATCAGGTCTTGGGAGAACTTCTGTAGGAAGTGTCTGAATCCCAGGGTTGAAGTGTGGCTGCCAAAGCCAGGCTGGGAGCAAGGAAGCCATCAACACAGATTTTTTTGTTCCCAGAGGGAGCTCAGAAAGGTTTCTAGGCCAGGAATTGCTTTACATGGAAGTCTTCAGCTTTTTTGCTACCCCTGTCTGTTTTAAACTAGGGTGAAAGTCACACTACCTCACTCTGTGAAGATGAGATCTAGTGCTGGGCTGTTTACTTAACTGTCTGTTTACTGCCCTTACTAAGCCCTTTAATCTCTCACAGATTTATAGCACTGTTCTGCATCTCTGAGGCATCAATACAAGAAGCAGGAAGCAGGATGCTCTTTCAAGACTTCCTTATTGCAGGTGGTTAGGCGCATACTAGAAACTGTTTCTTCTGAATGTGATGTGACCTCCCAGAGCTGCTTGTGAGTTGTTTCCCCCACTGATACCTTCAGAGGGTAATGCATTTGCTCTTCTTGGATGCTAGCGACAGTGGTCTGCATGGGAGAAGAGCCTGTTTAGCATTGTGCCAGGCTGGTGGCCTAGGACCCACTGGCAGGGGTCGCAGCAGCTGAAGCAATGGACTTGACTAGTTTTTCTGAATTTTGAACTCTTTCAGGTTGTATTTTCCTCCCTTTTTTTTTTGTACATTGTTGTGATTTTAAAGCATTTCAGCTTTTGTTTTGTGTTTTTTGTTACAGACTAACTTCAGGTGATTTGCACCTAGTTTGGCAAGGTGTGGGGTTTTTTTAAGGGTGAGGGTGGGGTTGGCATTGAAACAGCAATTCACAAAAAAGCACATTTTAGAAAAAAATTAAAAATGCTGATTTAATGTCAGAGTCTGGAGTTTTGGCTTTGAGGCTGCTTTAGGCTTGTAATCCAACAGCACTTGTTCACTTGAGCATTTACTTGATGTTACATTATCAGAAGGTCTGACTAATGTCCCTGATGAATCTTGGAGTCAGGGAAGTGCTCTTCCCATTTTGTCAGTAGTTCATCTTTGTCCAAATTTGTGCAGAAGGATCTGTAGCAAAGCCAGTAGCTGAGCCCAGAGTCCTGAGCCTAAACACCTTTAATTCCTGATTGTGGATGGTTTATATCTGTGCTCTGTCTTAGGCCAGTTGATACCTTCCTCTGGGTCTGGCAGAGGACTGCTTTGCAGTTTGGCCCCTGCATTTTACTGCATTCCATGCTGTAAAGAGAAGGGCTTCCTGTGAGTGGGCAGGGGAGCCTTTTAAGCAGAGGACTGTGACAGTGCTCCAGTCCTGCAGTCAGCTTTCACCTGCACTTGCTTGTGCCTTCTTGTTGCTACCAGACTTCTTTGCTGTCTGTGTGTTTTCAGTCCTCAGTCACAGGATCTGTTGTACACTTGGGAAAGTAAATTCCTCTCCTTTTCCTCTCCTGCAGTGCAGGCACACTAGCTTTTAATCTTGAGAGGTGGACCTAAATACCTCCTATCCAGCATCCTCTGGGTCAAGTTGCTTTGTTTCTGATTCTTTGCCAGCTCTCTCTCCCCTAGAAGTGTTAGTCAGAAATTTGCCAGGGAAGAATGTTAAGTGAGTAAGGCCAGAGCAAGAAGCTTTCCCCTATATTTTCAGGGAACTGTTTCCCAAGCAGTGGCAGTACTAATTTCTGTACTAGCTTCTTGCAGTGTTTAGCTGACAGCTACTCAGGAGGTGTAGGTGGACCTTGAGACTTTGTGTACCCAAGTCTAATAGATCTGTGTGATGGAGATGGACTGAGTCTGTTTCTGGCTTCCTGTGTGGACAGCTGCAGTGTACTGGTCATCCAGTTCCTCTCTGGGTTTGAATAGTGAGGAGAGGTTCTGTAGTCCTCACTAGCTGTTCTCTTGCCTTCCCATTTTTAATATCAGTGCTGCAGAGAGGCAGGAGTAATACAAATGCCTTTGGAAATCACATCAGCTCCTCGGCAAGCCACAGTCTGCTGAGGAGATAGATGTGAATTTGGCATCCTTAGTGTTTATTCCCTGCCAGTTACAGGAGCCACGTTAGTTTGCTGAAGCTTCTTTAGTGTGTTGGAAGTTTTCAAGTTTGTACGGTTTTGCTGTTCTCAAAGCCTGGCTGGAGGTGAAGAACTTATTTATGCTTCAGTACACACTGCCTTTGATCAGCAAAGAAGCAAGAGAGAAAATAGCACTTCGAATAAAGAGCTGTCCCATGTTTGATGGCAATAGAGGACAGAGAATTGAATGAGGTATTGGAGAGAACTGAGCTGTTTGCATGTTTGGCTTTCCTGGTGTGCCAACAACGCGCTTGGTGCTGCAAAAGGAGTGGGGGTGTCTTTGCAATGAGCCCAGTCTGAGATGAGTCATTAACAAATGACATGCAGAGAGTACCTGGGGGAGGCAAACAGCACTGCAGCAGCTGGTTAATGAATCTGGCTTGAATGAAACAGAAGCTATTCCAGGAATCAAGCAGAAGGCATAGTTGTTAACAGAGAAGGATGCAGGAGGTGCTGTGCTGTTTGAAAAGGACAGCAGATAAAAGACTGCATTGCCCCCGTGACTTACAGGAAGTGCAGCAACTCAGAGCAGGGTTGTGTGAACTGGGTGCTGGTGAGGGCTGAATTGCAGACAGTTTTGAGTGGGGAGTGCCTAGGGAGCTTAATTGTGCTGTAGGACAAGAGGGAGGTGGAAGCAGAGGTAGATTTAATGCAAACTCCCATGTATTGCATGTGTCTGCTGGAGGCAACAACACAGCTTGTCTGTGCGCTGCTGGACACTGCTCCCTGATGTGGGGAGAGCATCTTGCCCTACTTTGTTTTACGGCAGCAGTGGGCCGCTCCAGCTGCAGCTCACTTCAATATTGGAGCAGGACAAAGCTTGAGCTATTGAACTTCTGTTTGCCTGCTCCACCCAGAGGGAGACAAAGTAGAAGGAGCTGCCTTCCCTCTGCTCTTCAGGGCTTTATTGTCTAGCTTCATGTTCTGCAGCTCCACTTGTACTAGTGCTTGTTTAATATGGAACTGAGCACTGAGCTGGAAAATGGAAGAGAGGATCTCAGCTGATTGCAGTGCTGGTAGACTGCCCTAGCCCTAAAAGCTGTGCCTCATGCTAACAAATGTCTCTGGCATTCCTGCTGTGACTCAGTTGATACCAGCTAACATCAGGCAATTCTGGAACACGATAAAGCAATGCTGATGTCAGTCTTTTTACAGAAAATAATAAAAAAGTTTTGGCTCCAAATCTATCCTTTACTTCCCTCCTCACCTTGTTTAATAAGAGGAATGTTAGCTTAGTCTTCCATTGAGAGCAGGAGGGAAAATCAGTGATGCTGATGTTCAGACTGGAGACGCATCCCGCAGTCAGCCTTGTGTAGTCTTCTGAAAATCCCATGGGTGCTTGTGGAGCTGCACGCAGGCTTGCAGCCCCTCTCCATGGCTCACATACAGGAGTAGGACCTGCAGAGCTGCTGTCCAAAGTGAGGCTGGGGAAGGGGAACCTTTTGTTCCCATAGAAGAGAGTGGTGGTAAGAGATGGCTGTTTTCCCACCAGCCCTGCAAAGTGAATTTTGCTGAACAGCGTTCTGTTGCTGGAGGAATGGAAAATTACACAAAACCCAGTGAGTGGTTTTGGTTTTAGTGTTCCGCTTATCCTGTGCGGGGGAAACGCATTGGTCCGTGTGCATAAAAAGGGAGCTGGGCTTACTCATTGCAGTGAAGGCAGAAGGGAGAGTGCCATGAATTTTGATAGCTGTATTGAAATGTAACAAATTGCATGGGTAAAACACACTTTTCCTAAACTTTGTCTGTACAGATTTATGTGAGTGCATCTAAGCTGTTTAGAGAGGCCTTTCATTTTGAGAACCATGTAAAGCTCATCTTCAGTCAGAGTGCAACAGTCAAAGCTGATGCATTTGTAGGTATGTTGGTGCTGCTGTTTGTTACTTCAGTGTCTGAGCCTGGTGCAGGCTTTGCAATGGAGAGAAACAAGGTTGCTGTTCATTCTGAGTAATGGGGAAGGGAGAAATGAAAGAATCTGCCCCACAGGTACCAGCTAGCCAGACCTCTGGCACCTAATCCCATACAGAGTTTTCTCCTGTGGTACCCACTGCCCCAAGTCCTGTATAGCAGTGATCTAATGAAAAGGACCTAAAACCCAAATCTGTCTATTTTATTTTTTGTGTAATCTGAGAGAAACCCAGATGCTTTGAGATAAGTAAAGTTTAGAGTGATCTCAGTTAGTACTTGTAACCTTAACCTTGTATTTTTTTAATGGAATTTTAATCTGACAGTCTGACTGAATTTCTCAGCAGAGTTTTTAGAAATAGGTCATTGTTTCACTCTGCTCCATGGTGAAGGTCGGTGTCTCTCAGGGACTGCTGACATTTTGCTGATATTTCATCAAGTTTGGCCCTACTGCAGAGGTACCAGAGGTAAGTGATTGAAGCTAGAGAGGTGTATAGTAAGGAGAATGCTTATTTACCCTCTAGGCTGAGCTGCACCCTGCTTCCTAGTGGCTCTGTGGTGGTACTTCCATCTTGTGAGATGCCCTGATATATTTGCTACAGGTTGCGAATTGCATGAGTGGGATAGCTGTGACCATGGCTTTTTCTTGTCAAGAAGGAAAGATGTCCCTGCTCTAGTGAATGAATATACACACTGGAGATTCCAGACAGGAATGGGATGCCACAAGGTCATTTAACAGTCCTGAAATGTGTATTTCCCCACAGAGTGCAAAAGGCTCTGTGCAAGCAGTCCTTGCTTGGTGTAATTTTAGTAAAAGATAGGACACCTTTCCACAGGTCCGGGCCTCCTAAAGAGGCTCTGTGTTGTTAGGCATTTCTTTTAATGGTCGTGCACACATGATACCTCTGTTTCCAGAAGAGCTGATGGGGGTGGTAAGTGAAGCTGTGCTTCATCAGGGATAAGCCTTTTTGTGAGTATTTTGAGCTTGGCTGGCTGTAGGGCTGCAGCTTCATGGGTATGAAGTTTGGAAGTGATGCTGTCTTTCCCTCCAGACTCTTTCAGAAGATGCTGTTTTATCTCAGCCCTAATGTTTCAGTCACTGTCTTATGATTAGCAGTCCTAGGGCTGATTTGCGCTGATACAATAAGTAACATCTTGGTGTTTCATTGTCACCTTCACAGCTGTTAGAGAGCACCAGTTCCTACAGGATCAGCTGCCAGCTGTGATGCTATACCTTTTACATCACGACTGAGATGACACCTCTCCTTGCTGGCAGACAAGCCAGGTGGGTAGGCATTACTCCTCAGAGCTGTTCTTCACTTAAGGAGGTGCAGACTATTGCCTGGGTTAGCATAATGGAAATTTAAGGACAAGGGCAGTGTTGTAAATAAGGGGCAAAGCAGAGAGCTGTGTCCTATCCCAGCTCTCCTACAGCTGCAGAAAGCAACCTTGAGCACATTAGCTCCTCCGCAGATGCGTTTCCCAGGACAACCTCTCACTTGTGTGCTGACTTTGTGGCAGAGGTTTATAGAGTGCTTTGCTCTCCTGGTGGGGCAGAGGTTCATTGTTGATGGAATTGAAGATGTGTGTGTATGAGAGGGGGGGTTCTCAAAGCTTCTAAGCTTTAAGAAGTCATCTTCCTCCTAGTTAACATACCCTTCTTTTCCCCTGATGAAGCTAAAGTGGTCCACCATGGGACTATCAGCTTGCAGTATTATGGGTAATATGCCAGGTTAATTATGCAGGGGGCAGGAAAAATAGCCTGTGTCTTTCAACAATATCAAAGGGATGCTACTTAATGATTTTCCTATTAGCTCTTTTCCCAGCCTGCCAGAGTCACTGCAGAAGTGTCATTTACAAAAGCAGTTTGCAACTCATTACCCTGGATTTTCACTGTAGTTCTGCTCCAGAGAGCATGGGCTTTTGCTATGTGCCCCAGCCTAATGAATTGCCTGGTTTGGTTAGTGCTGCCATCCCTTCTGACAAGGGTGGTTGCTGACTGACAGGAGTGGGCCCGAGTTCAATTCCCTTCTTGTTTTTGACTTGTGCTTGTGTCAAGCACAGGCTCCCTCTGGAAGCTGCCTTGTGATTCCTTCTCTTTGTTTTTCTACATTCTGCAGGAAGCAGCCTATGCTTGGAGAAGTCCTAGAGCAAGTGACAGGGGCATGTGTGCCCTTTCCAGCTGGAAAATTCCACTGCTGTCCTGCTCTGAGCTTTTCTTCATTGGTTTGGGATTTGCTGTCACCTGAGCTGGGCTTTGCAACCCTTCAGCAATAAATACCTTGGAAAAGTTGCACTAATGGTACCAAGGAAACACATGCAGTGTGGGCTGGGGGAAGAGAACTGATTTCCCACACGTTTGAGGGCCTCTGTGTCCCTGTTGTGGGAGCTCTAAGGTCTGTTCCTGCTTGTTTGGGCTTTGCATGGCACTTGTTAGAACAGTGCTAGTAGAGAAAGCTCTTAGCCTGTTTAACTAGAGAGCAGTGTGCTTTTTTCAGGCTGGAGGTCTATGGCTCATCTAGTGCTAGGAATAGCTCCTGGAAAGGGGAAACTGGGGCTGTCCCTGGGTCATGTCACAGGTACTCCCACTTTGAAGCTGAATGTGGCTACTGCTTATTCAGGTGGTAGTGCAGGAAATGTGTAGGTCCCATGGGTGTTAGTTTGACCTGAGTGTGAACAGAGGAGCCTGGGACTCTTGCCACCATTGCTTCCAGGTGCATGTAAACACCTCTGCTAAATGCAGAGCTTGCTGTGGAGATGTCACATGCCAGCCCCCTGAGGTTGCAGCTTGCATCCAGGACTGCTCTTCCTGTTCAGTTATGCTGTCTCTGGGCTGGGATGTGGCAAGGGAGTTTTCCAGTGCTAGCCCTGCATCCTTTTACTGGATGTCATGAGAGTTTGACCTAGCTGGCCCACAAGGGAGGCAGTGATGTGAGATCAGTTTGTTTCTGCTGCATGTGATGCCTTCTCCCCTCTTAATTATATTCTTGTGGCCCCTATTTCCTGCTGGCCTTGTTTCCTACTGAGCTCCTGTCTGGAGACCCAATTGTGACCTTATCAGATGCTTGCTGTGCTCTAAGGAGCTGTTTCTGTTTCCCGTTCTGGCCTATCTTCTAAACTGAGGAAGGTGCTTGTCAGTGCTCTGAAAACTGACCAGTGTTCTCAGTGTCACTCTGCCTGTCAAACACACCAGTCTGGCTGTGCCATATGGGTGCTACAATTGAATGGATCCAAAAGTTTTCCCAAGTGCTCTTTCACCAGAGCGCTGCCTTCTCTCTTGCACATCAGCCCACACCCTTGTGTGGGCACGGTGTTCCTGTCCTACAGGTGGGAAACCAGCATGCTGAGTGAGGGTGACTTACGCTGCTCAGAGTGGAAGCAGCGAAGTGAGGAGCCAAACTGTTACCCCCTCCCTCTGCACAGAGAACTCTCACTCTGATCACTCTCCTGCCAAACTAGTGTCCTTTTGCAGTGCAGCTTTGTCCTTTTCCTTGGGCTTGCTCTTTTCCAGGAAGCCCAGTTGATGGAAGGATTCTGCTGTGGGATTATGCTGCAGAGGAGTAACAGCGATCCAGACTGTATGTGACCCCAGGCTGCGATCGCTGGGATATCCCCTAGCCTGATCTCAAGTTGTGCCTCACTTAGGAAGTCAGATTTTGTGGATTGAATTCCTGAGTCTTGTTCTGTTGAGGAGAGGCCTTCTGTCACCAGGCAGATGGTTTCATTCCAGCTCTGGCTTTGCAGCAGACACGGAACTGGAAGGCGGATTGGCCTCCCCCTTGTTCCCAGCCTGGTACCTGTTGTGGTCACTCCTCTGGCTCCATGCTCAAGAACCAGGACCCTGAGGGGGACCTGCAGTAACACCACTGTTCAGACCTGGTGTGCAAGGTCTGCACAGTATGTGAATACTTATTGTCCTGTAGGTTTGCAGGGTAACAGTAGACAGCCCTTCTGATGGGCATCTGTTCATGAGCTCCTGTTACAGCCCCTTCCCTTAGAAGATAGGTGGAGCAAGTAGGGGGACCTTCACAAGTGTTGTATTTGCCTTGCAGAGCCTCGACAGAGGGTTGTCATTACCTACCAGCATCTCTGGAAGGCTCTAGCTGACTCTCAGGCAGGGCACTGAGCTGCCAGCTGCCTTTCCTGCCTCCCTCCTTCCTGGGGCCTTGATTTTGTTCCCCATAGGCAACATCATAGGCTTCTGCTCCCCATCCAGCTGGACTCTGGGCACCAGAGGTGGGTACCTGTTTCTGACAGACACTTTTCTTGCACGAGGCTAGAAACGTCATGTGTGTGCATCTAACCTGATGATTGAGCTGTCGGGTGTCTGGATCAATCCTCTTGTTCTCTAAACCTAATGTTCTCTAATAGTTGGGGAGAGTCTGGCTGGAGGTTTCTATGGTTTCCTGGTGGTTGCTAAGGGAAAGGATCTCTCTGCCTTTAGGTCTTGGTGACTTTCTTTTTGCCCTGTCCTAGGCGCTGGAGCCCAGCAGAACATAACGCTCGTTGTTTCACAGCCCATTACAATGGTCAGGGTGCAATTTGGGACTCCTGTCACGGCTGAGCTGGGCACCTGCCACTCTTTTATTTTTAATCTCTATGGCCTCTTTGAAGAATGAGACCAAAGAGCCTTCATGCAGGAGTTTGTGCTTTTGCTGTGCTCCCAACCCCCTCGCTTGCTGTTTCCTTTAGAGCTCTGAGTAATTTTTACAATTTATTTCATGCACTTTACGTAGCAAGAAGCTGTAGCAACAGCTGGGTCCGTGAATCCTTACCAGGCAGTCCTCAGTGTATTTTGGTCTATGTATTGTCCCAGGCACAGTTAAATAAATTTGTGTGGGCAGAAGGGACTTTATGAAGGTTTGGTGAGTGGGAATATCAACAAGATACTTAGCGAGCTGCTGGATTCTAGAATAACAGTGCCTTGGGCATAAAGCTCTATTCCCACTAGCACAACTGGGGGCCAGATCCAACATGGTCTCTGTTGTTGTCAGCAGGGGCTGCATCTCCATGCGGTGCCCAGTCATAAAGCGATGGTTACAAGATGAAATTTGGACCCAAACCTGCAGACTGGAAGTGGTTAAAACATGTCTAGGCCAAACGCTGCTCTTGTCACACTGCTGAAAATCCGGTTCCAGGCTGTTGAACATGGTGGGCTTATTTCCAGGGGTGCCATTCAGGATGTGGGCACAGATGAGCTGCCTGAGGCCATGTGCTCTTGCAGGGAGCTTGGCTGGGTTTTCAGAGGCTGATGGCTGTGCAGCGCCAGGCAGGATTCGGTCCATCAGAGCATCACAGGATTGGGCGCAAGTTTACTTTTGCATATGGAATCAAAGCTTAAAATATCAGCTGGCCTTCCTCTCACTCCTGACTTACCTAAAACATCTGAACAATTTCTTTTTTAACTCAGTTGAAATCAATCAATCTGACATTTAAATTGTACGTGAATTTGATAAATAAAGACAGGTTACAAAATGCCTCATGGAATGATTTTTTTTTTTAAGTTTTTCAACTACTTTTAGGACAAAAAAATGTTACAATGCTTGACTTTTCATTTAGTTACATAAATAATTTCTTATAAATATCTCTTTATAAACAATATATAAATAGCTTTACAACATAAATACATTTATGCATGACATGAATTTACAAACAGCAACGTTATACAGCTGGCTTCATCAGTCTCTTGGAAAAGCGCTGTCCCTTGTCTTGGTGAGTGTTTGTATATATAATATATATAAGATAGAGAGCACTTTTTAAAAAAATAACAAAACCAAAACAGCTGGTGCCATGACTCCTCGTACCAAAAAGAAAAACACAGACACATCTTTTGTCCATTCCGGGGGGGTCTCTGCTCTTCTAGGTGCTGCCTGGGGGATGGTTGTGCCTGGCCACGATAGGAGAAAATGGACTTACGAATTCAAAGCCCTGTGAAGAATGAGAACGAAGTGCCTGTTAGTTACTTGCCATACAACACCCCTTACCTGACCCAAGCTGAAACCCCTGGGACAATAATCCTGCCATGGGATGGAGGGTACTGAAGTCAGCAGAAGCCCCCTCTTTTTGCTCATGCTAAAGCAAGGAAGCAGCTCACCCTTTGCTTTCTGATTGGTATTTAGGAGAGAGGCCAAGGGGAGCATGCTGCTCTTCCTAGCCCCACCTGGGTCTAGCAGAAATCTTTTTTTCTCCTGATGAGAACTTAACAGGAAAGGATGGCTGTGAGCTGGCCGCACAGCATGTGTGCTTCTGGGCGATTCCTTGGGAGTACTGAAAAGCCACTACTCAAGGGACCAGAGGAGCAGCACCCATCCCTCCAGGCAGGACTATGGACCAGTGCTAGTGTCCTGTGGGCACTGTTGGGCCTGGCTCTTCCCATTGTCATGAGAGCAGCAGGATGCCTGAATCTGGTCCCCTCCATGCCTGATTATATTAGTGTGGGGCCAAGGCAGGTCCCTGTGAGCGGGGCAGAGCAGTGTCATGGGACAAAGAGTGAGTGGCCGGGACTGCAATGGGCAAGTGCTTCCCCAGGTGTGAGTCCATCTGCATGTGACCTGTTGGCAGGGACACGGCCAGATTGGTGCCTCACTTCCCTCCAGCACCCCTGGGGACAGTTGGCAAGGAAAAGGCTGCCATGTTTCCCCCAGAATCATCGGGGGGGGGACACGACACACGCTTCTCTTGCCCATTGATTCTCTGAGCACAGCAGCTGCAGAGTGCTGTGAGAACAACTTCTTCCAGCTTCCTGTAACTTGCTCAGCTGCAAGGTCTGACTTAAGAAAGCGCTATCTTTGGTTTTCACCACAACTAGGAGGCACTTGGGGAACTTGTGCATTGCTTTTCCTTCAATTTAAAGGACTGCAGTATAGCTGAGACAGGTGCCTAATTCTCCCATTACAGGCACTTTAGGAGGTACCCAGTCCTCCTAACATGTCCATAGGTCACCTCTGTGTGTGTGTCAAGCATAGGGGAACACACTGCATCCTTTCCGGAGCCTACGGGTCTAGCTCCCACATGTGCTCATCTACCCTGAGCTGCTGCGGCAGAGGTGGGTCAAGGCTGGGGTCTCTGCTCTTCCCACAGAGGCAGCCGGGCAGCGGGAGGGTTGTTAAGAGAGGGGAAGTGCAACTAAGGCCAACTGTGGGCTCCTCCTCTTTACCCACCCGCAGCTCCGGGGTGTGCAGGTGTCTCACCGCTCTTAACTCCCCGCAGTCCCGCCCGCCCGCATCTCGCGTACGGGGAAGGGAGCCCAGCGCATGCCCCCCAGCGCCCCGCGGCCGCCCGGTGCCGGAGCGAGCCCGCCGCGCACTCACCGCCAGGGGTCCCTCAGCAGCCGAGGCCGCTCATGGCGCCGATGCGGTCCAGCTTGAGGCCGAAACAGCCCTTGCCCAGGCCCTTCTTGTGCAGGCCCTTGTGCCGGCGGCCCGGCGGGTCCTGCAGCAGCCGCGCCCAGCCCGCCCGCGGCCGAGCCTCGCCCCGCGCCTCCCGCGCCTCCCGTGGGCCCGAGCCGCCGCCGCCACCGCGCTCCTTGTCCCGCTCCTTGTCCCGCTCCGCCGCCGCCGCCTCGGCCGGACCCGCTGCCGCCGCCGCCGAGCCGCGGGAGGCCTGGGGGGGGGGGGGGGGGGTAGAGGGTCAGCGAGCTCCCGCCTTTCTGCGAGCCCCGCCGCCCCGCTCGGGACAGCTCCCCCCCCTCCCCGCATCAGTTGGGGACCCAACAACCTTGCCCAGGGCATTCTCCCCGCTCCCCAAGTCCGCGCTCCCTGCCCTGGGGTCACAGCATCCCCCGATCCCACACCATAGCGGTGTCTTCCCGACCCCCCGACGCTGCCCTGATCACTGCATACACCCCTGGCTGAGGTCACCACGTCCCCCCAGAAGGGCTGGTGCTGCTGCACCCCGCAGCTGTGCTGCTGTCACTGCACACCCCCAGCTCCCCAGTAACCTGAAGGGGCCTGGAAGCTAGCAGGGGAAGCAAGGACCCCGCAGTGGGGGGTATATGTGACCCAGTGCGGTCACTGCGACCCCTGCTAGCTTTCAGGTCCCTTCAGATTACTGGGGGGTGTGTTCCTGCCCCCATCCCAGCTCCGGGGGAGTGACACTACTCCTCACAGCCCTCCCAGCACCCCTGCCTTGCAGAGTATCCCCTGCATTGATGCTGCACCCTCCCATACTTAACACTCTCTGAGTACCCCCACTCCTCCAGTTCCGACCCACAATCACGGGGGGAACACCCCCTTTCTTACTGCCCCCTCCCAGTTCCCAAGCCCTCCCTCTTCTCTCTTCCTGCATGGGGCTGCTGCTCATCAAGCACTGGGGTTCCTCACTGACTCCCCCATACCACCTCTCTCTGCAGCTTGTACCCAGTTCCTTACAGGGACACAGCCAGTCCTGTCCTACCACTGTCCTGAGGCACCCCTCCCTTCGTGTCACCGTCTTTGTGCCCAGCCCACCCAGTGTTGGCAGCCTCCGGTGCATCCCCCCTCCTCAGCATCGCAGTCCCCAGCTCCCCGGGACACCCCCATTTGGGGCACCCCTTCCCTGCGGGCTGCACCCACCTGTCCCATTTGGGGAGGGCTCTGGCTTCGCACTCTGCCCACCCTGCACCTGCTGTCCATTCTGCTCCCCTGTGGGTCTGATCCCCTTCCCCAGTGCCTGGCACCAAGGGGGTCCCAGGGTGAGTGACACTGGGGACGGGACTGCAACCCTCCCCGGCCCTGATCCCGCAAGATCTGGGGCACACACAGGGCATCACCCTCCAGCCCCTGGTTTGGAGCTGACGTCTCCGGGACACGCGCACTTGGGACAAGCTGGAGAAGCTGGAGCTTCCCTACCAGTCAAAAAGCTTAAATGGTGAAGGAGGACCCCGCTTTGCACTGACAGCAGCCCCAAAGTCACCCCACATGTCCCCCTGTGCCATTAGCACCCTCAGCGGGACGGGGAGAAGAGGGAGCGCCGGGCTGCTCCTCCGGCCGTACCTTCTGTGGGAGCTGAGACGCCGGCTTCGCCTCCAGCCTGACGGAGAGCAGAGCGAGTAAAAGTCCACCAGCCAGCAAGGGTGAGATCTGCATCCTGCGAGGCCGAGCGAGAGGGGGCCGGGGGAGGGGAGGAGGGCAGCTGCGAGCCAAGGGGAGCCCCCGGGAGAGGCCGGGACCGACGGGAGTCAAAGTTCAGAGCGGAGCCCCGAGGTCCCTCCTGCCGCCTGCGAAGTGCCGAGCTAGTGAACTTGGGCTTTCTGCTTCATTCATTTTATAACCCAACCTGCTTGGTGATGTCATCTAAACAACCAGGTCCAACCCGGCCTCCCACTCCACAATAGCAGGAATTTAAAGGGGGGGTGGGGGGTGGGTGTCCCCTGTCCCCTGGCAGGAATAAATGACACATCAGCTGAAGGCAACTGGCTCAGGGAGTTGGAGAGCAGAAAGGGGAAGTGGGGGACATTTGGTGTCACACCCCCCCCCACCCCTGGACCCCCCTGCAAGCTTTCTGTTCACCCCTTGCCTGGCTGTCCCCAGCCCTTCAACTCCCCCCCACTTCCCTGGTGACCCCCTGCGGAAGAACACGGGCCAGCCTGGGGCAGCTGTCACAGGCTGGGGGGAGGAGCCCGGGGTGGGGGGTTAAGCCCATACGAAAGTAATGGGTGCAAAAAGCACTTTTTTTTCCACATCCAGGGTTAGATCGGAACCTGCTTGTCCCGCAGCTTCCCCCACAGGTCCCTGCTCGGCAGGAGGGGACACACTGCTCTCCCTGGCAGGGATGCTGAGGGCACCTGGGGACACAGGGGTATGCAGGGGGCAGTGCCACTGCTTGAGAGCACCATGGGTCCATGGGCTTGGCGGGGATGACCTGCTCTCTCTACTCTCCCTGCGGAGGCTGGTGGTCTCCCTGGTTCCAGGGATGGAGCTTATAATACACCCTGGAGATGTCCTCTGCAGGGCACAGGGTCCCTCCTGGGGACAGGACCCCAAGGGCTGACCCAGCACAGGGCTGTGCAACCTGGCCTCCTCCAGCCTGCTCTCGGAGCTGGAGGGTGTGGGAGAAAGATGTAATCCTGGAATTAACCCCAGGGGCTTGCAGGAGCTCTGGGGACAAAGGGGGGGGGGGGGGGAGACGGACTCCCCCCTGCACTCGCCCTTCCCCTTCAGGGGTTGGAAGAGCATAATTTGCATTGCTATTGCTGGTGTGCCTGGCACAGGCAGCTCTGGGGCTCCCGTTGCTTTTTGCTGTTGGAGCTGGGCACCATCCCTGGTATCTTGGCTGGGGGGCGGATGCTCGTAGTGGGATCAGGCCAGAGGAAAGACACCCTCCTCTGCAGAAGCATGCAATGCTGGTTTGCACCAGGCTGGAATTGCACCCCAAATCCCTTCCCTGGGACCAGGGAAACATTCTCTGGTCTTCCCCCTCTCCCTGGGGTCAGCTTCAGGCTGTTCCTTTCTTCCTCTTGCTCCTTTTCTTGGTCTTTCTGGGCTGTTCTGCTCCCCAGACCTAACCCTCGGAGCTGCCCCTGCTGGGGAGCCGTGGCTTTTGGGGGGTCCATATTGTCCCCACTCTGGAACAGGGAGACGTTTCCTCCTCCACAGCCTGGGCTACCGGGCACAGGACACTTCAAAGGAGATTGGATTTTCAGCCCCATGTGAACAGGAGCTGGAAGGAGAAGGTCTTGGTGGTTTTTCCATCGTGCCTGCCAGGTGGATACAACTTGGACTTTCTGGAGTGTAAAGTTGTGCTTGGGCATTTGTCTGCGTGCAGGCAGAGAGAGGCGATGGAGTCAGGATTAGAGCCAGCCCCGGGTGCCAGGGAGCTGTGGGTGCAGGCAAGGAGCAGAGAGAGGCCCCTGCTCTTGGGGTTCAGCTCTCGTCCCACCCAACACATAGCGTGACATCCAGCCTCTCTGGGGTGCAAGGAGGAGGGCTCTGCAGCACTACCCTCTTCAGCAGGGCTTGTGCAGGGGAAAGGGGAGCATCAGGAAGCTGAGATCCACAGCCTGGGGTTGTTGGGGTGCCTGAGGTCACACGCAGAGTGGCAGCCGACACAAGAATCCTGCCATCAGTGTCCTGGCTGTGCTAGCACCTGCCCTGATGCTGTGGCTTCTCCTGAGGGGACCCATATGGAAAAGGAAACTGGGTGGATGGCTGGGGTAATGTCACGGCGTGGCGAGGAAGAGCTGCCTTGCTTGCCACCAGCCCCCTGCACACTGAGGAAGTGGGGTCGGGAGTTGCATCGGAGCTTCTCCAACAGTCTCTTACCCCGGAACATTCCAGCATTGCCACAAACGCCACAACGCGGTCAGGTCTCAGCCAGCTCCTGCCCGCAGGAGGCTCCTCAGTGCCCTCAGCTTTCACCAGTGTGGTTTTCATTAGCGTGTTTTCTTTGTCACACTGTGCAGAGCCCCGGGTTTGGGGGAGGGGCTGTGCTTTATAAATCCAATTAGTCTTGTTATTCAAATTACCCTGCCTTTTCTGCTGAAAGTCGCTGGAGTAGGAGCCCGGTGCACGCAAAGCCTTTCCCTTAACGCAAAAAAGATTGGATCCACCGGGGGTGGCAAAAGCTCCGAGGAGAAAGAAGAGGTGGGCAGGAAGCGGTTAAGAGCATGAAAACATTTTGCTTCTTGGGATGGGGGCCTGAAAGTTTTTAACCCTTAAAGGGATGTGCCTGTGTTAGCCCACGGCCCTTCAGGATGCTCACCCAGGCTAAGACCTGGCAGACTCAGAGCGTGAGTGGAAACTGCGAGAGTGAGGTGGAGAGAGATGTGCTCACTGGTGGCCTCCCCCGGCCACTGGAGTGCAAAGGGATCCTGCATAGCGGGAGGAGGAGGGATGGAGACCCATGGGGTGGGCTGGAGGGGGTGACATCCGTCCTCATTGCACCCAGAGAAGGGCTCCAGGGCCAGTCTGCTGCTGCGGAACACCAGTGTTGGACTAGGGGATACAGGGAGATGGGCTGTGGTGTGTCTGGTAAGAGGTGGCTTGGAGTCACCTAAGAAAGGTGTGAAAATCCATGTTTGACTGTTGTTCATATAACACAATGTCCCCAGCACGCTTTCCTGTGTGACAGCTGGCTGAGGGTTGTTCAGAGGTGTCTGTCCAGTGGCAGCGGTGCTGGCTCCATCCAGCCCAGATTTGAGCCTCCCACCCCTTTGGGTTCTGCTGGGCATCACCCAAAGCCAAGGATGTATCCTGCCCTCCAGAAATACCCACTCCTGGCATCAGGTGGGAAGGTACATGTTCTGGAAACTGCCCAAAACCAGAGAACATCACTGCTCTAGGGTTAAAAATGGGGAGATACTGCTGAGCCTTAGCAAAGTGGGGATGACCCCTGAAGAAGGAGGACTCAGGGGGACTGCTGATATAGGGAGTGGGGTGGGTGCATGTGTGAGAGGGTACACAGGTTCCCTTGCATGAGGATGGAAAGGGATTCATCAAAGTGTGACCGGTGCCATCATCGGGAGGGTGGGAGGAGATGGGTCATGGGGGTATGTGTGACACAGCACCGGCTCTTTTGACCCCATCACAAGGAAGGGGTGAGCGATGCCTCTGGGTGAGGCTGGATCCTCATTGCCAGGCAATGCTGGGCCCTGGCTCTTTGGCTGAAGTCAATAGCCATGTTCTGGGCATCTTCCAGAGGGTGACACCAAGAAGGTTTACAGGACAGAAATATGGACTCTAGCCTGAAGTAAGCTGTGCCACCACAGCAATGAACAGCCAGCTATCAATCCCCTTTTTCTTCCACTCGCTCTTCATTAGGGAGTTTCTGTATTGATTTGGGGAAATCATTGCCCAGATTTATATCTCTGCTGCTGCCATGGGCCAGGGCGCATTTCCTGACAGAGTGATAGGTAACTCTGGTGTGAAGCTTTCCAGCTGATGCCATGCAAGGGCTGGTTGTCCCTTTGCAAAAAGAAACATCAGAAGGCTGCACGCATATGATGGAGATGATGGAGTGGCCAATATTTTCCTGCAGCCAATGGCCAAACTAAGGAGCTGTTGGTTAAGCACTATCCCGAAGTCCATCGGTGGCTTTGGAACAAGCCCTAACACATTGCTGCTCTCTGCTTGTTCTGTTCATGTTGTGCCCAGCTGCTCTCTACCTGCCTGGGGCAGAGTGGAGGAGGTACAAAGATGGAGGAGCTACTTCCCCTCCAGCACAGTCAATAACTACTAGTCCCCAGGAATCAGATGTGTGCTGATGTTCACCAAGAGAACACCACTGAGGGTTTGATGTACCACAGCAGTTGTTTTAGTTTATGAGGGTTTTTTTTCTGTAGGTTTAGAGTACCTCTCTAGGGGTATAGAGAGCAGGCTCAGCGAGAAGCAATTTGGGGGGGAATTCAATTTTGGCTGCAAGGATATAAGCAGCCACCAGTGCATGTAGTGGCAGGAGACCATCTGGTCCCACAGCTGTGGCAGGACACAGCAGGCACTATGCCTCCTTGGGATGCTCTGAAGCAAGTTTTTCTGGGGAATAACCATATAGCCCCCTGAGACAGGAGCACTGTCTTGAGGGCTCAGACTTGGCTCAGACTTGGCCACCAATAATCCCTGGGCCTGGGCAGCCACTAGGCCATCATGGGGATGAGGTGGCTTTGCACATCGGGGTGCAATGCCCCTGAGGAGCTGTAGCAGCACCAGCACCTGCTTCATCTCCAGGTCTCTGTGTCTGAAATGCTTTTTGAACATGCCTGGTGTTTATTTTGGATGCTGCTGCTGAATGAGGCACTATAGGAAGCACTACATGATTTTACATTTTCCCTTGTCTCCTTTGGGTCTGGAAGAGGGCTCTGGCCCAGCACACATGCATGGCCAACATCCCCTCTTCCCAAGCCAGGACTGTGATGGGGAGAGGCCCTGCAGAGCCACTGTGATGGGACAGAAGAGAACAGAGCTGCAGATGCAGCAAGGGCATGGAGATGGGGAAGCCATCTCTGTCCCTTCCAAACCTCACAGAGTGGAGACAAGAAGACAAGGGAAAGCTCCAGGCAGAGACTCCTGTCTTTGCTGGTATCCTGGGAGGCACAGTGTGCTTTCCCCCAGGGGCTTGCTTTGGGGTTTGCCTTTTGGGGTTTGTCGTTTTCCCTGTGCTCCCCAGAACACTCCATTCTCCTCTGGCGTTTCTGGGTGTTTTCCCCAGGGCTGTGCTGGGATGGCCATGCTCCGGGGCTGGGCTGGCATGAGCAGGAACACAAAGTCTCAAGACTTTTGTTGAACATTGAGAAAATGAAGCAATTCTAATGCATGGATGAGTCC